ATGTCGCACAACTTAGAAGAACAAAAGCTGTACCGTTGTGCCTTATGCGGCGTGACATTCACGAAAAAGTTTAACCTGTTATGTCATGAAAAAAGGCACACAGGGGAGAAACCTTATAAATGTGAAATATGTGCAGCCACTTTCCCCCGGAAAGGGAGTCTGCAGCGGCATCTTCGGATACACACCGGAGAAAAGCTGCACAGCTGCATGTTCTGCGATAAAACGTTTGCTTACAAAAGTAGCCTCGTACAGCATTACAAGTGGCATGCTGGGGAAAAACCCTATGAATGCAACGACTGCGGCAAAACGTTTACCAGAAAGAACACTCTGATTCAGCACATCCCTTTACACACTGGAGAGAAACCCTTCAAGTGTAACTACTGTGACAGTGTATTTTCCCGAAAGGTTAGACTACTCCATCACATATGGCAACACAATGGAGACTGGCCTTTTAAGTGCAGTTATTGCAACAAGGGATTTCCCGACAGAAATGCTTTGGACACTCATCAAAGAATCCATACAGGAGAGAGACCCTACAAATGCAACAAGTGTAACAAAGGGTACACATCCAAGAGTAACCTGGGTCGGCATCTGAGGTGTCATAACTATTCTCAAGAGGAACATGCAGCCTCCTCATCCTCTCCGATTCCAGCGGAGAACAATTCGACTCGCAGGAAAGACGAGAAATTGATGTGCCACATTCGCCCACACCAATTTGCCTTCCCACGTGAGCTGGCTAATCACATGAAGAGTCACACGCAAGGGGAACGTTTTGGGGCCGAAATGTGTGAAAAGACGTCAGTGATCCCAGGCAATGAAGATGCAACCGATTCACAAACAACAGGCGAGGATGACCGGCTTACTGAACAACTACGTTCGTCGACAATCCTCAAGGAAGACCATGCTTTAGAATGCAAGATGAAACGGCTTTCCGTTGCTCCTAGCGATAAGAACGCGGCGGACACCAGCAGACACCAACGCAAGACCACTTCACAGAGAAATCCGTCCAGACAGCAATCGCAGAGCCACATTTCCAGCACAACGCCGCCTCTCAGGCATCAAGGCCCGCCCCCTTCCAACCAGAAGGCCAAGGAAGTCACAGGCGCAGAGGAAAGAGGCGAGTTGGGGCACCACAGGAAACCCAGAGATATGCAAAGGCCTGCCCGTCGCAGCAGGGATACCCTCGCGGAGCATGCATCAAGGACACAGGAAACCCTTGTCCTCGATGTCAGAACCGACTGCCTGACGAAAGCAGAGTGCGACCGAATCCTCTTTTCCTCGGGCACCGTGCGTGTCAGAAGTCCCTCGCCGTGTGAGAACTGCGCATTCACAACAAGAAATGAACACCTGTCTTTCGACACGGACAGGGAAAATACCGACGGGGAAACAGACCAAACACTGAACAATTTAGCGAACATAGATGACGTTCAAAGGCTGGGAAACAATGCAATTATGCAAACGGGGTCTTCCAGTACCACAGAAGCAAAACATGGAAGCTATATGGCATTGAAAAAAGAAGAGAGAATAATGAAAATAAACAATAATGGAAATATGTGTATATATATATATATATATATATATATATATATATATATATATATGTATATATGTGTGTGTGTGTGTGTGTATCTATGTATAGATAATAATAGAGTGAGTCCAGAGAGAGAGAGAGAGAGAGAGAGAGAGTGAGAGAGAGAGAGAGAGAGAGAGAGAGAGAGAGAGAGAGAGAGAGAGAGAGAGAGAGAGAGAGAGAGAGAGAGAGAGAGTCGAAAAGAGAGAGAGAGTGAGCGAGTCAGACACAAAGAAAGAAAGAGAGATTGAGAGAGGGCAAGAAAGACAGAGTGAGATTAACATTTTTCCGATACATCTTGAGAAAAATACCTTAGTGATACAGATAATGTGATACTATTACTGAGTAGCTAAGGCGATACCGATGACAATATAAAAGTATTGATCGATATATCTATGTGTGTGTGGGTGTGTGTGTGTGTGAGCGCAAATGGCTAAGCACTTCTATGGGTGTAAATCTCATTATGCAAAACCAAATCTCCAGATCTGATTATATAATAATATAATAACCACATACTCTATCAACCATCTTTCGCAAAATTTACCTGCCAACACTTGGCAATGACGCCATCTGCGACTAGACCAGAATCCATATTTCCAAAAGGCACATTACAACCAATGTGGAGTAGGAGTGAGTGATTAGGAGTACTCGAGATTCTACCTTATTTTGCGGAATTTTGCGGAATGCCTGTTATCATGCAAAACCTTTTACCCTATGGAAATATTCGTGATACTTGAATTGCACGTTCCCACAAACCACCTGTATGAGAAACATGGTGTAAGTTGCACTCCCAACCTCTGACTGAAAATATGATTCTTGAACTTTTGTTGATTTCTTAATTTGATCAAATCTTATTCAATTCTAGAGGAGCCCCATAAAATAAGTACCATTATGTAACCGAATTTTCCGTAATATCTCTTCTGCATATGAAACTATTTGAAGTATTCATAATGCATCAATAAGAAGGCAATTTAACATTTCAAGACATTTTGCACGTAAAACAAAAAGAACTCTTCCACGCTAAACCAAAAATAGATTAAAAACTACTTCTATTTAGGTAACTGCTGGTTTCTCAGCCATTAACCTTTCTGGTAGGTCAGCCATGTGTTGTTGCCTACCACTCCCTCTGCTTCTACACATTACACAGTGTCTAATCAAATCGTTAATTAGAAGCCAAGCCTCTGGCAGCTAATATATGTGCCCCATGACCTTCAGCTTTATGGATTTCACGTGCAATTACTGTAGCAAGTGGATACTGACGAGGCAGTATTATTCGATGTTTTATATCACAAAGTATAGAAGCGTGGAAGTCTACCAAACACATATAACGAGCTGTGGTTCCAAGTTGTATAGTTAAGTGGTATAAAGCAGACGTTTTACCACTACAGGGACTTTATTTCTTAGCTGAAATGCTTTATGTGTAAGTAGGACAGAATAATCTGTTATAATCAATGCTCCTTGAGTAATGTTTTTTTTTAACACATACAGAATATCCCTAAACGAAATGGCCAATTTGTCCTTTGCTCAGGCGAAGGAATCCTGAACCTGTCCAAAGAAAGCTTGTGGAAAATAGTTCTTCAGGGAAGCAACATCCACCCAAAAGGCTCGGAAAAGGTGGTAAGGGAAAGCCTAAAGGTGTGGGGCGTGCCTTAAAAACAGGGGCTGCCAATGAAAAGTTAGCAGAACTGGAAGAACTGGATACCCGGCTTAAGTGGAATTGTCAGGGATTTCATGCAGAATGGGAGGAAAAGCAGCTACTGATAGCTTCATGTAAGCCAATGTGTGTATGCCCACAAGAAATTATGACCAGGGAATATTGTTCTATTTCCCTGAGAGGATTTCAAGTTCAAGTTCAAGTTCAAGTTCAAGTTCAAGTTCAAGTTCAAGTTCAAGTTCAAGTTCAAGTTCAAGTTCAAGTTCAAGTTCAAGTTCAAGGACAATTGATAATAGACCTCATGGAGGAGTAGCAGTGATGATGTGTCAGGATATTCCGTTCCAGGCCATCCACCTGCAGACAACACTGCAGGTGACGGCTGTGAGGATATGCTTGATACTTATTTACACTGTTGTATCTTTACTCCACATAATCACAGCATAGATGATTTGGAAAATCTACTTGGACAGTTGCCTCATCCATTTCTACTCTGGGGAGAATTCAGTGTATCACCTCTGGGAAGACACTTGTGCAACCCAACTTGGAGTCCTAGTTCTCAAGCGTAGATACAGTTTTTTTTTTTTCTGAACAGTGACACACCCACATATTTCCAAATTCAAACTGGGACATTCTGGTTCACAGTTGGATTTCACTTCACTTCATGTCGTGGAAGACTTACATGGAAGCAATCACTTTCCAATAGGAGGTGGTGAATGGCATTCCAACCAGTGAAGTGAAGAGACGGTGACATGGACATGTAGACTGGAATCTTATTAAATCAGCTGAAGTAATGCAGGGATCTGTGAATGATTTCCAATGTGTTTAAGATGCTGTTAATCACTTCACATAATGCAACATAAGCATCTATTCCCAAACGTAGGGGGCCGGACCATCAACCTCCGGGATTGTGGTGGTCTGATGAATCCCCGCTCCTCCACCACGGAACAAGCACACACCTGTTCAATGCTTCGCTAGTCTTAGCCAAAAATTGTGGTTCTAGATGCTTGGCAGCCACAGAAAGAGCCTCCTTTATGAAGTAAGCCGTGCCGCATCTTGGTGAAAGTAGAGGCTGTCAATCAAGCGTCCTGCTAGCCATCGAAAAGCATCCCTAAGCTCGCGTCTCGCTGCCATCTAGTGCACTGATGGCCAAAAGAATGAATGCAATGCTTGAGGCACAACGTAAATGTTATAATGACGCAATTGTTTGTCTAAACTATATCAACGTATAGTATATCAAAGAAACTGAACAAATCATATCAAGCCTAGAATATTCTCTAAAGGAATTAGCTGATCTGAAATCTAGACTTGCCAATGCCATCACTGACGGAGATAAGAAGATGAAGCAAATTGAGCTGTTACAGCATTCAAACCAGGGCCTCCAGCAATAACTACAAGAGATGACCAAACGCACAGCACAACAATCTCCGCTTCATGGGGTGACGGAAGTCCGGAGAGACTTGGGGAAAAATGTCAGCTGCGGCCGCCCGAGCCTGAGCCCGTCGTTAGAACGCGTTCACCGCGTCGGAAAGCCTGGCGACAAGCAGCCAAGAGACATCGTGGTTAAATTCACTCTCTTTTCAGAGCGGGATGCAGTGATGCAGAAGATGAAGGGTACCAACATCTTCATCAATGAAGACCTATGTCCGGCATCAATCGAGGCATGTGTGCAGCAGATACCAGCTTACCATCAGGCTTGTAAAAACGGCAAGCACGCTTATTTTAACCATGATGCTTTTATCATTCGTGATCCTGCTAATTCCAAGCAAACAAACTCAC